GCTGAGGGACAGCGCCCAGGCCCAGAGTTCAGGCCCCATGACTGGACCCAAAAAAAAAAAGAATTAAATTCCTATTATATGATAATGGTGGGTGGTTGTGTGTGCACGTGCGCGCTCAAGCATGCGCATGCAAACACGCACACTAGTCCTGGAGCTTGAACTTAGGCCCCTGAGCTTTTTCACTCAAGGCTAGTTCTTTTCCACTTCTGGCTTTGTGGTGGCTAATTAGAGATGAGAGTGTCATGGACTTTCCAATCTGGGCTGAATTCAAACCACGATCCTCAGATCTCAGCCTCCTGAGTAGGTAGGGTTACAGAGGTCAGCCACTGTAATAATTATTAACATACTGAAAGATAAAATTATGTAATTCTTGGAACTTCTTTATTTGTATCTAAGGGGAGTTTCCAGGAGCGATTAATATTTAAGTCAATAACAGAAAAGAAGATCCAGCCTCAAAATTGTAGTGTCATTAGATCTATTGAGGGCCCAAGTAGATGAAAATGTTGGAGGGCCAAGTTCTCTCTGGAAATTCATTTTTTACTGTCCTCGGATATCAGCATTCATTGTTCTTGGGCCTCTGGACTTGCTCTGAGACTTGGCAAAACATGGTTAGTGAAACTGAAGAACAGATTTTGTTTGTTGAATAATTTGGGGTTTTGACACAGATCCTATGTTACACAGTCTGGCTTCAAACTCACAACTGGGGCTGGGAAGGTGGCTCAGTGGTAGAGTGCTTGCCTTGCATGCCTGAGGCCCTGGGTTCGATTACTCAGCACCACATAAGCAGAAAAGAAAAAAACTGGAAGTGGTGCTGTGGCTCAAGTGGTAGAGCGCTAGCCTTGAGCTGAAGAGCTGAGGGACAGTGCCCAGGCCGAGAGTTCAGGCCCCACGACCGGACCCAAAAAAAAACAAACAAAAAACAAAACGAAACTCACAACTGTCCTGCCTCCACATCCTGAGGGCTGGGATTATAGGTGTAATCACTACACTTGATGAAGAACTGAATTTTATTAAATAAATTTTATTTATTTGCCATATGTATAACCAAATTCTACAAAACCCAGAGCAGTGGTTGTCAGGGAAGGCAAAAAGTTTTACACCAGTGTCCCTTGCCCCTTCTTTTGACACAAAGAGATACAGCAACTCGGACAATGGTACTTTGAATCCAGGAGAGACTGGGCTTTACTCCAAACACAGCTGTGGGAATCCACAGCCAAGCAGCAGGAAAGAGGCTCAGTGGGTGCAACATCAATAAAGAGAACATAAAAAGGACCAGAGATTCTGGCTCAACCCACCTAACAGGATCTTTGTGAAGACAGGCCAGGGAGATCAATCATCACCATTTAGGAGCCTAATCAGATATCAAGGATAGAAATTTCTTTCTAAATAAATTTAGCAATGTTCTTGCTAGAAGCAGATTTTATGAGGGAATACACTCATAGGTCTAGGAGAAAATTCAAGAATGTGACTAACGTTTAGTCAAGCAAAGAATGTTTGTTGCCCAGCAGCAACAGTCTTGGTCAGTCTTTGGCTCAGTCTTGGTCTTCTGCCATATTGTTGAGCTGGTGTGTCTAGTTTCCTGAACACACTCACATACTTTGATTTGTTTCATTACCCTCAACTACTGTGCAGGCTCCACTGTGTAGTACAGACATGAAGGTTAAGAGCTATTTGTTCCATGGGTTGGTGAATCAGGGCCACTTGCGCCACCTGGTCCTCTATGATGCTGGAGTGTCAGGGACATTTTTGGCCTATTCAGAGGCAAGGTATAATGTATCTCTCAAACTTGAGAAGGGTAAATGTGTGTGTGTGTTGGGTGAGTGTGTCTGTGTGTGTGTCTCCGTGTCTGTCTGTTGGGTGTGGTACAATCAGCATCGGTCAGGCTTTGTTTTCAACTCTACAAGTCCCAGTACCTGATTTCTACCAGGTTATGCGGGGTCTAGGTGTTCAAGGCCATCCGAAGGGCTCATCCATAGCTACGCACGCTCCCGTCCCAACTGCCCGTTCTGCGGGGCCTTGGCTGCGTCTCCTGGGTTTTCAGCATTTGGTCCACGATGGCCTGCCTCATTCTAGGAGCCTCGCTGGCCCTTCAGGGTGAGCTAGCAGCTCCCCGGGCATCCTGGCCCGGGATCCTCCCCGGCGCTCCGGGGGTACACAGTAGGGAGCTGGCCGGCGGCTCCCCAGCGCAGCCGCCGGCTGAGCCCCACTCGGGGCACTTCTGCCCAGTAAGTGGGAGCCCACCCAGTATCCTCATCCGGGTACCTCGGCTGGGCCCGGGCCTTCCGGTGGCTCCACCCCAGCCGGCCGCCATCTTGCCCCGGAGAGCGCCAAGATGGGGCCCATGCTCCTGAGTGCCTGGCTGCTGGTGGGGAGTGCCCTCCTGTCTCCTGAGCACCACTCGCCCTCGGGGAGGCAAGGGGTCGGCCCCCCGCAGGAACAGCATGGTCCGGGGCCCAAGGCGGCACGCGGAAAGCCCCACGGGCCGAAGGAGGACTTGGCCACAAAGGGCAGTGTCACTCATCCCTGACCTCCCTGACCTCCCTGTCCCCTTCCGCCCCCTTCTGCCCCTCTGGCTCCTCCAACTGCCCCCCCTCTGCGGCCCCCCTTGGCCCCTCCTCACCCCACTGGATTTAGCCAGGCCCCCACACCCCTAGACCTGCCGTAATGACCTTTGAACTTCTGGGGTTTTGCTCCTGGGTTTGTGGATGGATAGTGACCAATCAGCGCTCGGAGCTGAACTCTTCCCAGTGCAGTTGAGAACCATTAGTTCAACTAATTAACAAGCAAAAATCAGAGTTTGTAGCTCTTGACTCACCAATCCCAGACTACTTACACTCATAATACAACTGAGCTACATCCCCCAACCCCTGGGCCCACGTTTTTGGTTTGTTTTGTGCAGGTACTGGGGTTTGAACTTAGGGCTTTACATTCTTGCGTGGCTTTTTGGCCAAAGGCTGGTGCTCTATCACTTAAATCACACCTCCAGTTCTGGCTGTTTTGCTTAATTGGAGATAGGAGCCTCCAGGACTTTCCTGCCTGGGCTGGCTTCAAATCTTGATCCTCAGATCTCAGCCTCATATGTAGCTAGGATTATAGGCATGAGCCACCAGCTAGTCTCAGGCTCTTAATTCACGAGTTCATGATGGAAAAATGGGGAAACCTACCAGAAAAACAACTAATTATTATTATTTTTATTTCAGGGGAATAGTTTTTAAATTAATGAACTGTGTTGATTTCTAAGTAATTGACTATGGGATATTTAAGCTCCTTTATCTCATATCTTTCAAAATTCTGAGCATGCCTCAGGTGTCCAGCTTGCTTCATCAATCTCTAAGTCAATAATGGGGCTTCAACTCAAGGCCTCGTGCTTTCTACTACTTGAACCACACCACCACTTCTGGCTTTGGGATAATTAGAGATAAGAGTTTCTCAGATTTGTCTGCACAGTCTGGCTTCTAACCACAATCCTCAGATCTCAGCCTCCAGAGTCACTAAGATTACAGCTACCAGTGACCCGTGCTTCATCAGCTTTTAAAAAAGGAATTTAAAGAAGTAGCTTAATGTATCCAGATTAAGAAGTAACATACCATATACATGATAGTGCTCAGGCCAAATAATGTATCATTTTTTATTTTTAGATTGTGGAAGGGCTCCCCTTAGGCATATGTTGGAAGGGTCTCGGATTATAGGGGGCGCAGAAGCTCAAGTCGGCGCTTGGCCATGGATAGTTAGCCTGCAGATTCAAAGTGGCAATCTCCTTGCTCATATATGTGGGGGAAGCCTAGTGAGAGACAGGTGGGTCCTCACAGCTGCCCACTGCACTAACGATGCTAGGTATGTATTGGAACATAATTCCTATTTTATCCTCAGGTGATACACTCAAGTGGCAAAGGTCTATTTGACTCCAACTAGTTTCAGTGAAGCCATATATTTGCAAGTAACCGTAATGCTTTATAGTGTGCTGTATTGATGAATCTTTGGTTTTGTTTAGGTCCAATACTAGAACTTGTTGGTTATCTGACGCTTTGCTGACTGGCAGGCACTGAGCTGCACTTCCAACCCTAGTTGTTGAGTCATTGAGTCACCAGTTGGTGACCTTTTTCTATCAAGAGAAAATATAAAGTTTACAGGTCATATGAAAGTAGTAATAAAAAATGCATAATTTATGGGTGTGGTTGTGACCTAATAAAACTTAATGTTTTTTTCTATTTTTATATATAAATATTGATGGATTTCATCAGTCATTGAAAATTTTAGCTCATTTTTTTCCCCAAGCATTTAAAAATGTAAGGCTGGGTATATAGCTCAGTGATAGAGTGCTTGCCTACTTGCCTAGCATGCCAAAGCCCCCCCAGTATCACTTAGAGAGAGAGAGAGACAGACAGAGACACAGAGACAGACACAGAGACAGAGACACAGAGAGACAGAGAGAGAGAAGTGGTTGGTGACTATGATTAAAATACATTGTGTGCATTTATGAAAATGTCACAGAATTGTGGCTCAAATGACACAGTGATTGCCTAGCATGCATAAGGTCCCGGGTTCAATTTTTACTCTCTACTACTTAAAAAGAAAAGTGAGAGAAAAAAGATGATATCACATCAAAGTCCATTAGTTTGTACAATTAACATTTGCTAATTTTTTAAATAGGAAAATATGCTTTTCTTATGCGCTAAATAAAAACAAGAGATGGGCTATATTTGGCTCTCACAGTTAAGACTTTGAACAAAAGACTTGTTTTATCTACATTGATCTGTAAACTCTCATTTGCAGCTTGATTTCTGTGACCAACATGATTAAGGATCTACTTAATCCACTCTTCTCAGGTTCTAGCCTACTGATATCTACAATACATTGAAACTTAAAGCCTTAAAACTCTCTTTTCTTGATTTCTTTATAATTACCTCATAATTACTTTTTTCTTTGGTGCCATTGTGGTATGAACTCAGGACATTCCGTCTGTCTTTTCTTTATTTCTAAGACCCACTGTTGAATAATAATTCTGGAGAGAAGGGGGATACACAGGAGAATGTTTTCCTATGATCCATTATGGTCTTTCATTCTTTTTAATAGTCTTTCAGTTTTAGCTCCTAAAGCTAGCTGGCCTTCTCCTCAATTTTTATTATTAGTTATGTGGGCCAGCCCAGCTTTATTTTTCTTTTTTGCCAGACCTGGGGCTTGAACTCAGGGCCTGGGCACTGTTCCTGAGCTTCTTTTGCTCAAGGCTAGCACTCTATCACTTTAGCCACAGCACCACTTCCAGCTTTTTCTGTGTATGTGGTACTGAGGAATTGAACCCAGCTTTCATGCTTGCTAGGCAAGAACTCTACCACTAAGCCATGTTCCCAGCCCCAGCTCAGCTTTTTGTTCTAGAGAATGTCTTTGTTGCCCAGTTTATGAATTAACTACCCTCTAATCAGGGGCCTCCCGCTGTCCCCTAGAATAGACACCTCTGTCCGTTCTGGATCATATACTCAATGGGGCAAAATCCTTTTCCTCACACAGGGACACGGTTATATATTAGCGCCAGTGGATTATGACTAGGAAAAGAGAATTGTTTCTGTATACAGTGCTGAGGATCAAGCCCAAAGTCTCACAAATGTTAGGGGAGTACCCTACTATTGAGCCACATCCCCAGCCCTGAAAAGATGCTGCTTGTTTTAATAATCTCCACATAATTAATACTGGAAAAGAATGTATATAGTGCAGTAGCACCGGTATCTAGTACAACTTAGAAACCACTCCTAACTTACTCTGACAGAAATCCCCCCCCCCTTTTTTTTTTTGTCAGTTGTGAGTCTTGAACTCTGGGCCTGGGCACTGTCCCTGAGCTCTTCAGCTCAAGGTGAACACTCTATCTTGAGCCACAGCACCATTTATAGTTTTCTGGTGATTACTTGGAGATAAGAGTCTCACAGATTTTCCTGCCCAGGCTGGCTTTGAACCAACCTTGATCCTCAGATCTCAGCCTCCTGAGTAGCTAGGATTACAGGTGTGAGCCACAAGCACCCAACAGAAATCATTTTTTGAATGTATTTTTCTCACATTTCTTGTTTCTCTTTTTACTATTTTTAAATGAAGGACATAATTTATGTGCAGTAAAATTTGCCCTTTAGTGTTCCAGTCTGCAGTTTTATGTTTGTGTGAATGTGTATGTGTGTGTGTGTGTGCGCGTGCGCCCATGTGTACTAGGGATTGAACCTAAGGGCTCAAACTTGGGAGGGGAGGGAGGGAGAATATGGGGGTGATAACCTGCACTGTTGGCATCACACACACACTCAAACTCTGCTAAATAACAGTGTATAAGCTGAAAGTTCTCCACAGTTGAATTCCAGGTGTAATAGCTGTTAATAGAAAGTTAATTGTTGATCTTTTGACCATTTTTGGTTTGGTTTATATAAAATCCTTACCTGTATCTATCTTATATATTAATCCATATTTTTAAAAATCTTACGTTTAAATGTTTTGTTCTAGTATATTTCAAAAAATTATAAAAGTAGAGGAAATATTTATATGATTCCTATTCACTTTGTCACACACCTTGAAGTTACTTACACCTGTCCTCTCATGGCATGCATGTGTACATCACCAGCTCAATCTCCCGTGTGTGTGGTGTGTGTGGTATGTGGGTGGTGGTGGTGTGTGTGTATGTGTGTGTGCGTGTGTGTGCATATGTGTGCATGCGTGCGTGTTTGTGTGTGTGTGGTGTGGGTGTGTGTGCGTGCGTGTGCATGTGCGTGTGTGGGTGGTGTGTGGGTGGTGTGGTGTGTGTGTGCATGTGTGTGTGTGTGTGTGCGTGCACGTGTGTGTGTGGGGGTGGGTGGTGTGGTGTGTGGTTTGTGTGTGTGTGTGGTGCTGGGTCTGAAACGCAGTGTCTTACTCATGCTAAGCATGTGTTCTGCCATTGAGTTACAGCCCTAGCTCACCTTCTCCAGTTGTTTTAAAGCAAATCTCCCGAGTTATCACTTGGGATATCTCTGAAAGATGGGAACACTTTACTTAAAAGATTTATTCATTTAAATATTTAATCTACTTGGCGTTCAATTTGTTGCTTAGTTTTATATCAGAAATCTAACAGCTGTTGTCCCAAAGTATATGTATATATGTATATGTTTCTATCCACATATATACATATATATGTATATATACATACATGCATATATACGTATATGTATATATACATATACATATATGTATATGTACATTGGTAAGACTGTTGTAATATTATCATGGGTTGGAGGTATGCCTCAAGTGGTAGAGTGCCTGCCTAGCAAATGCAGGGCCCTGAGTTCAACCCTCAAAACTGCTGAAAAGAAAGAGGAGGAGAGAAGGGGGAAGGAGGGAGGGAATGAGGGAGGACAAAGAAAGGTAGGGTCTGTATCTGGATTTTCTGCCTCATCTTTTTTCCTTCTCCTACATAATGAAGCTTGTACTTTTATACTTTGTGACCATTAAAGCAGAATTAACGTGTTCAGTTATCTATCAGGAAAAAAAACCCACAACAACTACTAGTAGGAGGTTGTAATCTTAGCTACTCAGGAGGCTGAGATCTGAGGATCACAGTTGGAAGCCAGCCCCGGCCGAAAAGTCAATGAGACTCTTATCTCCAATAAACTACTCAGAAAAAGCCAGAAGTAGCACCGCAGGTGAAGTGGCAGAGCACTAGCCTTGAGCACAGAGGCTCAGGAACAGCACCCAGGCCCAGAGTTCGAGATCCAGGACCATCAAAAAAGAAAAAGAAAAAAAAAAGAATATTGACCCAACACACTTATAATGAGAATCTATACTTTCTTTCAGAGACCCTTTAATGTGGAGAGCGGTGATTGGAACCAATGATATATACATGAACAGTCCACACAGCAAGAAGATAAAAATTACAGCAATCATTATCCATCCAGACTTCATTATGGATACTTTCGTGAATGATATTGCACTTTTTCACTTAAAAAAAGCTGTGAAGTATAATGACTATATTCAACCTATTTGTCTACCTTTTGGTATTTTCCAAAAACTAGATCAGAACACAAAATGTTTTATAAGTGGCTGGGGAAGAACAAAAGAAGAAGGTAATTACGGTGCAAATTTTGCCCACACATATCTTCCTGATTTTTGAGAGAGGTTTAATCCTTTTAGGTATTTCTTTTTCAAACTTTTCCTTTTCCTTTCTTTTTTGGTGCTAATATAGGGGCTTGAATTCAGGGCCTGGGCACTGTCCCTGAGCATTTTTGCTCAAGGCTGATGCTTTACCACTTGAACCACAGCTTCACTTATGGCTTTTGGCTGATAAATTGGAGATAAGAGTCTCACAAACTTTTCTGCCCAGGATATCTTCAAACAATGACTCAGATCTCAGTCTCTTGAGTAGTTAGAATTATAGGCATGAGCCACTGGTACTCAACTTTTAAAAGTATTTGTTTTGTGGGGCTGGGAAGGTGGCTCAGTGGTAGAGCGCTTGCCTTGCATGCCTGAGGCCCTGGGTTCCATTCCTCAGCACCACATAAGCAAAAAGCCGGAAGTGGTGCTGTGGCTCAAGTGGTAGAGTGCTAGCCTTGAGCTGAAGAGCTGAGGGACAGTGCCCAGGCCCAGAGTTCAGGCCCCACAACCGGACCAAAAAAAAAACAAAAAAAAAAAAACAAAAGTATTTGTTTTGTGATACTGGGAATTGAATCTGGTTTTGCAAATAATTGGTAGGTAAAGATTCTCTCTCTCTCTCCCTTCCTCCCTCCCCCGCCCCTGTGCCAGTTCTCATTTTCTGGTGGTTTATTGGAGATAAGAGTTTCATTGACTTCCCTGCCCTGGCTGGCTTTGAACCATAATCCTCAGATCTCAGCCTTCTGAGTAGCTAGGATTATAGACGTGAGCCACCAGCACCTGCCCCAGGGCTCCCCCTTCCCCCCCCTTTTTTTTTTAAAGAGGTGAAGTACTTTGTCCAGAAAGATTTAGATATCTTTATTTTTAGGTGTGACATGGAAGAGGAAATATTTGACGTAATAGGAAGAATAAAGTCTGAAAATTATAAATTAAATGTCTAAATTTAAAAGTTTAAAAGAACATTATAATAAACCCACAGAAAGAAGAAATAATTTAATGTAATTAATAGAAAATGGTGAAAGAAAAGAGAAATCTAATTCTTAGAAAAAACAATAAACACTAGTAAGACTGGGGAGAAGAGAAGGTACAGATCTAAATAAGATTAAAATATATACTGAAAAAAGTAGCCCTAGGGATCAAATTCAGGGCCTTATGTATGCCTATAATTTGTTTAAAAATTTTATGCTTAGGTTAGAGAAGAAGCTCAAGGGGGTTAGAACACTTGCTTAGCAAGTGCAAGGTCCTGAGTTCAGACCCTGGAACCGGCAATAACAACAAAAACAAAACACCCACACCATAAGTTATTTGAATCTTTTATAAGTGTGTCCAAAAAATCCAGATTGAGAGAACATACCTCAATTCAGTATCCATGAACAACAATAATTTTAAGGCCCAAACCAAGCAAGTATAAGAAAGTCCAGCATTATAAACAGACATTCCAAGTAAATTATTAAATTATCAAGTATGTCATAAATCAAATTTATCAGAAGTGGTGTTTCCCAGAAATTCAAGGGTATTTTAATATTAGAAGTCTCTGCACAGATCCCTGAGTTCAACCTCAGTATCACCAAAAACAAATCTCTTAATGGGATTCACAAAGTGCTTCATTAAAGGACAAAAATATCTCAAAAGATGCAAAAACTGATTTGATAAAATGTAGAAACATGCCAAAACATGACATTAAGTGAAATAAGGCAGATACAAAAGGCTGTATGTTCAATGATTGTGCTCATATAACATTCCAAATGGCAAATCACAGCAAGAAAACAGATCAGTGGCTGTGAGCAGCTGGGGAGGATGAATGAAACTGAGGAGATAAGGTGGGGTGGGAGGAAGAGAGGGAAAGAAGATTACTATCAACCTATTAAACACTGTAAATCACTGCTCACATTCCAAAATACGTTACTAGTTTTTTTTTGTATTGTTAACAGGTAACGGAACCCATGTTTTACAGGAAGCAGAAGTACATTATATTTCTCGAAACTTATGTAATTCTGAGAGTGGTTATGCAGGTGTGATTCCTCAAACTTCCTTTTGTGCAGGTGATGAAGATGGAGCCTTTGACACTTGCAGGGTAAGGTGTTTTCTAAATGCAGAAGGTAGGAAGTGGCGCTGTAGCTCAAGTGGTAGAGCGCTTGCCTTGAGCTGAAGAGCTGAGGGACAGCGCCCAGGCC